ACCCTGTTTCAGCGTGACTTGGATGGGGGCAAAGGCTACGACCCCTGTGAGCCAATTAGAGTGGCGCAGCGAAGCACGTGACAGCTCTTCAGTGCACATTCAAGATGCATTGTCACCTGTCTCGCTTTGGCGCTTTTATTGACACCGTCAGGGGCTGCACCTTTTGCTCTTTGCCGAGCTATAACCCCTTTCAATAGCACACCCTTATTTTTTTGGTATAGGTCTAAAATAAGTGCACAGTAGCGTGCGCAACAAAAACACGATCAAGCTGACGAGTCTCCAATTTAACACTTCCAAGTCCCTGTATGTGGTAACAGAAGTTCATGTTTCGCGGTATGAACACTCTAAGAAATGCCTGCGCGTCCACTTACCCGCCAAACACTCGAAGAGCCAATCTCTTTGTTTATACAAAATCAGCCCAGTGAATGATGAGGCGGAACATCTGTTTAGACCTCAAAATTAAGTTTGCGTTCTGCCATTACGCATTGCAAGCATGACGCTTTGCATTGCGTGATGCCACAGCGAAGACTTGATTTTTAGGTCTAAACGGATGTTCCGCCTCATCATTCGCTGAGCTGATTTCGTAGGTCGCAGAGATTGGCTCTTTGAGTGTTATGCGGGTGAGTAGACGCGCAGGCTTGGCCTCACCGTGGCCATTCCCGCTCTTCCTTGTGAAGAAAAACACAAAGTAGGCTGGCGCAAAATGTGTGCCGCATAAAAGTAGTACGTGCTCACGCCACTGCGCATGCGCAGAAGCTTCGTCACAAAGAAGTCGACAATCATGGCGAGCAGAGAGTTTTGTGAGAGGAGCCTGCCCTACTATGGTAAACATGCAACAGAACACGAGTCAAGAGACGGACCTCTGGCCGGTGCCACTTTCACCGCTCGCGCGTGTGGCGTATGCGCGTGCTCTGTCCGCTCTCCAGATCGACGCACACGCGCGTGCTGGGCCGTGGAGGTCGCGCGCTGGGCTGTGGATTTGTAAACACAGTGATCGCTGGTGATGCGACGTCAATGCAAGAAGTCGCGTTATGTCGGCGGTTTTCAGAGCTTCGGGGGAGAAGCGGCGCCGCATATCGTTTTCCGCGGATCGCATCGCCCACGAGCGTGGCCGTATGGCTGGACTCCGGCGGCCGCCCTCCCCGTATTTGGCAATACCGGTATATCGACGGAGTATGCACAAGTCGGGCCGCTCGAGGGGAACAACGTCCGTTGCCTCAGCGCCTCGGAGGGTCACGGTCCGTCCCAGATTCGCAGATGGACTGCAGTAAAACCCCCTCCCCTTCCTCCTCCCCCCTCGTCCTCCCAGTCCCGCAAGCGACGATGGCGCAGCGCGGTGCCGGGAGAGCGTGCTTCGTCGGCCATTAGCATTCGCAACAACCGAAAAGCGTCGGTCTCGCGGGGATGCGTTCATTCCCCGCGGACGGCGTTCGCTTTCTTGTACTTTCTGTTTCGTTTCTCTTCTTTCACGCCTCCTACGCCTTGTACAACTGGGCCTGTAGTAGACTTGTATTTAACGCGTTGCTTGTACTTATTATAGTCATGCAGTCGGGGACAGGTTAGTTCGGTGGAAGTTCCTCCCAACCCTTTAATATTTCCACTTTAGCAGAGCGAACGCTGGATCGAAAGCAGGCGACCTCCTCTCCAGCGTTCGCTCTGCTGAAGTGGAAAGAGATGGGAGAAGCTTCCCCTGAATTCTCGATGGGTTTCGAGCTTGTATTGTCAGGTTCGAGTTCTCTACAAAATCCTTTTTTAGTGTGAAGATCGACTATTAACGCACATAATCTGCGTCTCTATTATCCGTTCATACATTACCCCTTCCCTCTTAAAGAACATCTAAATCCGACTCGATGCACTTTTAACCGAAACCAGATGATGTAAATGCTAAGGTGTGACAAAATGACCTGAGCTCTTTGTCACGTGGAAGCTAAGTTGCTATCGCTACTTTTTGTAACGAAAGTCAACGACCTACCTAAGGAATTATTAAGGTTATTTCGTTACATTTTGGTGAAATAGCGAGTAACGTGTTTAGTTACTTCGGGAAGGGAACGCGTACAACTCAAGTAAGGAACCTAGTACTCACCCTTGACGAAAATAATCCCTGGAGAAGGGACAAGAGGGACAAAGGAGAAACACAACCTTTGTCCCTCTTCTTCGGGGATTATTTTCGTCATTCTTGTCCAGCTCGCTTGAACCTTGGCATTTAATTGCATTATACTACTCACCCTTGCTCGTGACTGCAATTTGCACGAAGAAAAAACGCTGAATGGACCACAAAAAAAAAAAAAAAAAAATTACAGAATGTATGTCAGTATAGCCACAGTTATCCCCGAATGAACGCGTTAAAAAAGCGAGGAATTATTAACGACGAGAAGTGTTAGAAGTGGCTACGGCTTCATAAGAAGCGACACATTCAAAGTAAAGAGAAAATACCGCGTAACGTTCATGCTCACGTAACGCGTTCCTTTCGAATTGCACTGACAAGTAATGTACTTAGTTACCTTTTGAGTGAGTGATTTACCTTATTTCAGAAACCTTTACACGTATGGCCTGTAGCGTTACCAGTGTTGTGACCGTTACCGAAGATAAGTAACGAAATAGTGTTATTCGTTAGTTTGTCTAGGACCAACACATTACTCCGATTCCTTTCTTTCTTGCAAATGTAACAAAATACCGATACCGTTATTTAAAAAAGAAAAAGATAGCGAATATTATTTTTGTGTTATTTTGAATTTCAGTATTATACTGGGCCTCACTATGAATCCACACACTAAGGACAGTTGCGGCTTCCTTGTCACTTCCCGTATGCACCGCCGCGGGAACGTTACCCTTCTCACTCTCAGTGAAGGAAGTCGAAATATTTTCCTTTTTCGGCACACTTTACAGGATGGGAATTAGTTTGTTTTCAAAGCAAGAAATATTTCTAGAATATATTCTAAGCTTTACCCGATTACGACATTCGTTACGAACATCGTAATCGGGTGGGCAACATCGTAAAATAGTAAGGGAAACACTTTACTCGTTAGTTATCTAGAGATATAACGAGTACTCTAGTATACGTTACTGAAGAGAAGCTAATGCGGTACGCGTCGTTACTTCTAATGCTTAACGCATTAGAAGTAATCCAACACTGCGTGTGACATGCAACGTTACCGGTACGCCAATTAGGAGTGCGTTGGTTGGAACATTGAATAACTTTATGAGGCTCGAGCCCCACTGGTGTCCCTGCGCGTACGGACACAATATAACAATAAAATAAAACAACAATGAGCGCACACTAAGCTCTAAGAAAACATGTTTTGGCAAAAAAAGAAAAAAAACAAACTTGCTCTGTCAAACTGAGCACGGTGAAATTTCAAACCCAGTGTCACATCGCAGACTTTTTTTTCCTTTTTTTTTTAGGTTTAAGCCTATTTTTAGTTTCGCTATTGGCCGGGCTTCCTCCGTAGCCTGCAGCGATTGATTCCTCCAACATCTTCGCGGGAAAGTAGGCGCTCAAGATTAGTGTGTGTTGTAACTTGTTAATTTTGTTTGTTCAGATATTTTTTCTGTACGAGGTGCGATCAAAATGTTACGAGACTTATCTTGTACCTTGAAAAGAGAGGGCATCGCGGGGATGTGCACGCTACAATCGAGGGCACAGACTTTCCTGTGTCATTATAATCATCTTTATTTGGACTCCTTGAGTTTCGGGTGGAGGGGCAAAAGGTAAACAAATTTACCTGACGAGGCCCCACCACATTATACACTGATCAGCAGGGAATCAAAACAGATTAGAAAAAAACAATAGAACACAAGTAAAAGCGACAATAAATCTTATCAAACAATGTTTCATTGTGCCAAGTAGGCACGAAATAAGCCTTCTACAGAATAGTGAATTAATAAAACTACACCAGGAGCAAAGTACAACTTGGCAGGAGCTAGGAGCTTTAAAGCGAATAATAACACACATAAATATGGTCAGAGCTGATTATACGCTATTCAACCCAATGCATAACGTTTCATGATATTTTTGAAGGCCAATAAGGGAAGTAGCATTCCTCATTAATTCAAAAACACTTGGATGATCGTTCAAAAGCTGTGGTATTTTATAGGCTATAGCTTAGGAGCCATAATTTGTCCGTATTTTAGGCTGTGTATATTTCATTTATTAGATCATATTGTGTTGTTTTGGGTGGTAGATCTCACAAAATCCGTTTTGGTCACTGCTGTACTCGCGGTATATTCTCATCGCTAGTTTTAAAATAAAGAACCGATGGATATCTAGAATTCAATATTTTGCGAAATATGGGGCTGAATGATCGGTATAGTGGAGGTTTAGGGGTGCAACGAACAGCTTTTCTTTGTAGGCCGAACAGTTTGTCTAGATTTGTTTTCGTTGTGGTTCCCCTTAACTAGTAAGCAATAATGTAAATAAGGTTGTATAATTAAACTTGAGGAAGAAAACGAGAAAGGACGGACAAACACAAACTTGTCCGTCCTCTCTCGTTTTCTTCCTCAAGTTTAACTATCCATACCAACCCGCTCGTTCTGTCCCTACAGATTGTATAAGACTGCAGTAGAGTTGGCACTGAAGCCAACAGGGAAGGAGATGTTTAAGTTTATAAAAGATTCCAATAGATATGGATAAGCTAGAGCGAATATGATTGATGTGTTCTGTCCAGCTTAAAATTTCTTAGAACCAGACACCTAGAAATTTTAGGGAGGACGCTCTTTCTAATTCTGAGTTTCTAAATTGTACCGAGAATGTACTAAAACTAACATATTTTGTTCTGTTCATATTCAATTCTATTTGACTAGACTCTAGCCGCAGCGCAAGTTCACGTCACCACATGTTTGATAAACTTTCTAATACCACTGAGATCCTTATCCGTAAAAAAACACATTGGTGTTGTCTGCATAAAGTATATCTGGGGTTCGCGGAGAGAGAGAGAGAAAGAAAAATTAGTTTATTGGAAAGGAGAAGAGGTTATCCTGCGAAGATTGGCAGGATGGCTACTTCACACTTAGGGGAGGGAAAGAGGGGAGGTATAGATTATAAAGAGAGACAGAGAAGAAAAAAAGAAAAAAAGAAAATATATACATACTTATACATTCATCTATGCACATATATATACATATATTTACATACACATACATAAACATACATATGCATAAGGAAAAGAAAATTCTGTCCGTTATTGTTTTTTCATGTAAAAGTATGTTCTGGATTTAGAGTATTCGGTCCAGTTTTGTTTTTTAAGAAAGCGGATGAAGGAGGTCGTTGATTTGACCCTTTCCGATGCGGAGTCCCATGGTCCGAGCAGGTGAGTCAGGGAAAGTGGTCCTCCGTTGGGAAGATGGAGAGAGTTTGCCAAAGTTGAGGCTTGGGCGAGTTGGTACATACTTCGGAAATTAAAAACAGCGCGGAAAGACGAGGACCAGACAAAGAAGTGACACGGACGTAGCGCTGTCAGCGCTACGTCCGTGTCACTTCTTTGTCTCGTCCTCGTCTTTCCGTGCTGTTCTTAATTTCCGAAGAGTTTGCCAGTTCATTTCGTTGACTTGTGTATAGGCTACACTGGCACAGGACGTGTTCGAGTGTGTCTGTGACGGCACAGTTCTCACAGAGAGGAGAGTCTAGCTGGCCGATGAGGTTGAGATAGAATCCCGTTGAAGCTACGTTGAGTCGTACTCGGTGGAGCGTAGCTTCAGTGCGGCGTTTAAGGCCGCGGGGTGAACGAAAGACAAGGAAAGGGTCAATGCTGTGCAGGTGTCTGTAATAATAAAGCGGATTTGCCCAGAGGGAACTTATCATAGTTTTAGCAACACAGTTGATTCTGGCCCCATTATCTGTTCGTGAAAATGGGATTTTTAAACCAGAATTACGTCGGTGAGCATCCTTGGCAGCTAAATCAGCACTTTCATTGCCTTGGATACCACAGTGGCTTGGAATCCATTGTAGTATCAGACTATGCCCATTTTCGATAGCCTCCTGGTGAAGTTTCGAAATTTGATGAACAAGCTGTGCATTGACGTTCTTGTTTTTAGTGGATTTGAGGCTCTGAAGAGCTGCCCTAGAATCGGTAAAAATTGACCAATCTCGTGAGTCACATGCAGAAATGAAGCGAAGTGCTTCTCGAATCGCTACTAATTCTGCAGCTGTTGATTATGTCGTGTGACCCAATTTTCCATGGAGTCTCTCATTGATTGATGGTATTACGAAGCTGTAAGTGGAGCTTTCGTCAGTGCAGGACCCGTCGGTATAGACATGTGTTCGCGAACGGTGATGAACACTAATTATTTCCAAAGAGTGTTGCCTCAATGCGGTTAACGGAATGTGTTTTTTGGAATATAGCCCTTGAATATTTCTCTTTATATTAATTATTGGATAGGCCCATGGGGGCGAAGAAGAGAACTCTGCTGGTTCGAAATCTCTTGGAGTGTTTAAGCTGCCAGAATTAATAATTTGAGCAAATCCAGAGGCACTTCTGCTATCTGATATATCTGCAAGATAGTGTTCTTTATGTCTGGTAAGATGACGAAGGTGTGTTCGAAGGGTCTCTTGCAGTCTAAGGACACCTATGGGAATAGCGCCTGCTTCAGCTACAGTTCCGACATTGGAAGTACATTTTGGGAGCCCTAGACAGGCACGTAGGGCTTGAGCCTGCATACTCTCAAGCGCTCTTATATTTGTGCGGCACATCCCATGAAGTACGGGCAGACTGTATCGCATAATGCCGACAAAAAGAGCGTTATGTAGTTGGACAAGTGAAGCTACAGATGGACCCCACGTAGTTCCACTTATGAATCGTAAGAGCTGGGTAATGCTAAAAAGCTTTCTTTTCAGTTGCCTAACGTGTGGTGTCCATGTTAAACCTTTGTCTAGGATAAGACCAAGAAATCTGTGAGTTTGGACATATGATATAGGGTGAGCATCAATAGTGAGCTGATGCCTAAGCGTACTTTTTCGTGTAAAAGCTATAGCTGCGGATTTTGATGGGCATAGCGATAGTCCACGGCATTTTAAGTAATTTGAAATTATCTCAAGTGCTTTCTGTAAGCGAGTCACATTAAATCGCTGCGTGATTGATGAGGTCCATATGCAGATATCATCCGCGTAGAGAGTTATTCTGACGTTTCGAGGAAGTTTGTTCACAAGTCCTATGAGGGTGATATTGAAAAGTGTGGAACTGAGAACACCACCCTGTGGCACGCCACGAGCAACAATATACTCAGCTGTTTTCCCTTCTGTCGTCACCATATGAATTGTTCTGTTTTCAAGATAGTCTAAAATCCACGCATACAGACGTCCTCCTATCCCGGCATAGCAGAGTGCGTTGCAGATAGCCTTGTGGCTTACACAGTCAAAAGCGCCCTTAATATCGAGGAACACTGCAGTGGTGATTCTTCGGGATTTCTTTTGTTTTTCGATGCTCGTTGTGAGGTCAATGATATTATCAAGAGAGTTGCGTCCGCGTCGGAAACCTGCCATAACTTCGGGGTATATGTCATACTGCTCTAGGTACCATTCAAGTCGGGTATGTATTATCCTTTCCATGATTTTTCCGACACAAGAGGACAAAGCAACTGGACGGAACGATGAAAGGTCTAGGGGGGATTTACCTTGCTTAAGGATGGGTATAATGCGCGATGTTTTCCAATCCCGGGGCACCTGGCCCGTTTCCCACGATGTGTTATATAGTTTCAAGAGCCTCACTTTGCCTATTGTACCCAGGTGAAATAAGGCCGCGTAAGTTATACCGTCGGGACCGGGAGAGGTTGAGAAACGTAGTCCAGAAAGGGCCTCGTCTAGTTCTCGTATATCGAACGGTGCGTCCATGTATGGACACGCTCGGAAGGGATTGTTGGATTTAACAAGTGGAATGGTCGAATTTCCGACGTTTTCCGTGAGCTTTTTACAGTACTCTTCAGCCACAGCTAGTTCCGAAAGATCTAGTCGGAGGGCTAGTGCACGAAAAGGTTAACGCTGTTGTGGAGTCGTCCTTAGACCACGAGCAAGACTGTATATTCTTGAAAGAGGCTTACGAGGATCTAATGTTGCGCAATGGTCCCTCTAATGACGTTGGGCTAGTTTATCTAGATGGCGTTTTATGCGTTTTTGTTGGCGTCTTACTTTACGAATATCTTCAGGATCATGTGTTTTTTGCCTTTCTTTCGTATCTCCTGCGAAGCGCACGAAGACGTTCGTATTCCGCGTCAATCATAACAAACCTTCGGGGTAGTTTGTATGTTTTTGTGTGTTGTTTCACAAGTTCTCCGATACCATGGTAGAAATCACCTTCGGTGCTAAATGAATCACATGCTTTTTCAAGATTAACTTTGAAAAGGCACCAATCTGTCCGTCTGATTGTTGACGATATGGTATTGGATGAAAACCCCTTGAGAAGAGTGTACGTAGGCATATGGTCACTGCTATGGCATTCAATATCTGTAAACCATGTGAGAGAATTCGAAAGGCTCGAGCATGCAAATGTCAAATCTAAGCAGCTGCTTGTAGTGGCGCCCCGGAAAAAGGTTGGACTTCCGTCATTCAAAGTAAAAAGACCATGCTGATGCGTGAGCGTCACAAGTGAGGTACCTCGGGCGGTTGTTTTTGTACTTCCCCATAAGGGGTGATGGGCATTAAAGTCCCCCGTTAAGATGTGTGGAGAGGGGGTGTTTTTAATAATAGAGCTAATACGCAGGGAGTCAAACTGCGTATTTGGCGGAATGTATCCTGCGATTAGCGTGAACATGTTGCGACCTTGTTTCACAGTTAAAGCGACATACTCGTTGGTGGCATCAGGAGTAAAGCGCAGAACACATGTACGACGAAACCGTCCGATCCGACGTGCGGACTGCCGGAATGACCTTGGGAGGAGAGGGTTTTTGTAGCATCGGAGAGCGTTGAAAACCCTCGCCTCCGACCGTCGTATTGCGCGGTCGGACGTCGGATCGGACGGTTTCGTCGTACATGTGTTTCGCGCTTAAGGCTGTGGGAGATATAGGTAAGGTCTTTACGAATCGCCACTAGAACTCTGCATGGAGATCTACCTCGTAGCGAGTGAAAAACCTCATAACCAGATAAACGAAAATTGTCGGCAATGTTTGATTCTGATAATGCTATAGCCGGAAATTGGTACTTATACACAAATCGGCGAAAGTCGGAAAGACGGCTGCGAAGGCCCCTTGCATTCCACTGGAAAATGGTTGCTTGGTATCGAATCTTATCTATTGATAGCATGTCCAGATTAGCAGCTGGGGCCTAGGCAGAGAGTAGGCTCAATCATAGTTAAAAGTGTGAGCATGATACCTTTGAAAGCTGTGTCTTGCTTGCTGATAAAAAAAAGTTTTTTGCAGTTTGAAAGAATAGAGGCAAAAGGACGTCAGTCGTTAGGTTGGTTTTTCGTGGCTCCTTGAAAAGGGCTCTGGTGGTAATCGTAGGCTCGCCTTTCTTCACGGGGATAGTGAATAGTCTTGATATGTTGAATAATATGCAATTGCGGACGCGTTCATGCGGCTTCTTGGTGCTTCCATCGTTTATAATTAATTCTCCTATAAGCGGAAGAATCATATTAAGCAATGATGTGATGTTTCGTGCCCATTGGGCGTCGACAGAAGATAAAAGGCTATAGGCCATGCGATCTGCTTTTTTGAGAAGCGGAATCCAGCTTTCCCATGCATTCCCTTTGACTGGTGGAGCACCAGAGGTGGAAGTGGTCTTCCGCATTGGATCAGGAGTGACAGCCGCTGACGTCGACGGCCTTTCCTTTTCTCCCTTGAGTTCTGAAACTTGACTTTTGCGGTCAATTGAAGGAGGGGCCCCCTTCGTGAGCTTCTGTTGATTCTTCTTTACAGCTGCAGCATAGTCATGGGAGCTTGGGTTCTGCTTGTTAGATGTCTCATTTATTGTGTTCTGTGAGTGTAGAGGTCGTTGATCAATTTCAGCCGTTTGTTTTGTTTCCGTCTTTTGTGAGACGGCGGATCTTGCGGCGCGAAAGTCAACTGCGTGTTTGCGTGCGTAGCTGCGAGTCTCACTTTCTCTCTGCCATTTTGGGCAGAAAGAGGACGTGGCAGCGTGAGCTTGACTGCAGTTCGCGCATTTTTCTTGTCCAGAACACGTGTCGTTGCTGTCGTGGGCTTCTCCACAGCGACTGCAGATGGGTGGGCGCTTGCAGTTGGCTTCGCGATGTCCATATCCACAACATTTGCGGCACTGAATTGGGCGTTCCTTGAAGGGAGTCACCGGATGGCGAACGTGACCGAGATAAACAAAACTCGGCAACGTTGTTTCGCTGAACGCTATCTTTACTATGGAACTTTGTCCAAGCCGTCGAATTATCGCTACTCGGCCTTCCGGTGATCTCACATGCTGTTCAATTTCGGCATCAGTAAGTGAAGTGTCGACGTCTTTAATCACTCCTACTGCGAAATGCCGCGGAACGGGCTCGTACGCCCGAACTTTCAAGCCGCAGATCTGAGTGCAGGCAAGGAGCGCACGGGTCGTCTGGCCATTTCGAGTATCCACTGCGATCAGATGGAATCTGCTGTTGGGCCTAATCTCGTGGATGCATTCGGGACACATCTGTTCCAATGCAACAGACAGTTTTAGACTGCTGATCGCTGTGATTCTCTGGTTTTCAACCACTGGCACAAAAATTACAGTCAGGCCAACTGTCGTGGTAGGCGAGTTCGTAACTGTGTCTCCGCTTTTGCTTGAACTGGAGTTTTTTTGCGCTTCTTGGATGTCTTGGCATCGTACCATTCACCTTGGTCGGTGTCGGCGATTTCCATGTCGCTAGTTAACATTTCAGCGTTGGGTGGAGATATGTGGGGTCCGTGCATGTCGGGAGCTCTAACTTCTGCCAGGTTAGTGAGGGAGGTTTCGTTCTCTAGTTCGGCGATAGAGGATCCGCATGTTGAAGGAGGCATGCTGTAGCGCTC